CGCCCGCCCCCCTGCGCGGTGCTGACGGTGTGGTGTGTTCGTCCAGCTCTGCAGGAGAACTTGGACCGGAAGCTGTTCGGGCAGCACCTGGTGAACAAGGTGGTTGTCAAGGCCGTGAAGGGCTTCTTGAACAACACCAACGCCAAAAAGCCTCTCACCCTTTCCTTGCATGGGTGGACTGGGACGGGCAAAAACTTCGTCAGTAAGATCGTCGCCGAAAGCATTTATAAAAGAGGCCTGCAGAGCAAATATGTTCACCAGTTCGTGGCAACTTTACACTTTCCTCATGCTCACAGCATCAACCTCTACAAGGTACGGGCGTGCGGCGGGGCGCAGCTGCTGCATCGGTTTGCAAACGTTACGGCATGATCAGCACTAGAAACCTAGAAGTAAAACGCAGCCTGTGCCAGTTCTCAGATCTTCTGTGCAGAACTGGGTAAATCCTGACATCCGTCAGGACTGCTTTTCCCATGAATGTAAAGTTTTTTGCATGTGTTTTGAGCCTCTCTTTAGGGAAGAACGATACGGTTATTTTTTGTCTGACGCTTTGCTCAGAGATGTGACTGACTTAACGATAAGAGTGATTCAGCATGATTCCGTGGTTGGGTGAGGACGTTGGTCGGTACTGCAAAAAAATAGTAGTTCATGACTTTGGGGAACCACCTGGTGACCTCCAAGTGTGTTAGGTACCACAGCAAGCTGAAGCTTGCCCTCTGAGGCCCTCTGGGTGTACTTTTGAGCTTCGTCACAAACCAAGTGGGTTATTTAGGTTTTCTATGTGTCCAGCTGTAAAACAAAATCACAAAATACTCTGTGGTCAGAAGGTACAGGTATATTTATTTGGAATTGTTCTGCCAGTTTGCCAAGTGTCAGTGCTGTCCAGTAGTCAGGTGGGTATCGTACGGAGCAGTAGTTCAGATACATGTTTTCTGGTTTTTCTTTGTTCTAAATGTTAACAGCAGTCTGAATGAGTACCACTGTCTTTTGTAGTACTGAATGTTTATATTCAGTTTGTTAAAAGTGGGAATGGGAGAGCCTACAAACCTGATTTCTAAATGGAGGAAAGATCTATTTCCTCTTCTACAGCTTACTTTTCCCCTTCTTGCAGCTGAGCTGTTTTAAAGTAGAGTTGATCCTTTTCTTCTTTTGTTTTGAGGTGATTACACTTGAGAAACTTGCTGCTCAAGGCGGCTGCTTATTTACAATACATCCGGTGCCACCTTCGTGTGCTGCCGCTGCAGTTCAGGGACTGAATAAACAGTGAATACGAAAAAAAGATCAGTCATGAAAATTGATCAGAACAGTTACTTCTCATTCATCTGCCAGCAGATCAACCCTTTTTTTCCCCAATTACTTCATTATTGGTCTTAAATGCAACACTTAAGTGAGAGAATCTTTAAATACAGTAAAGTGTTAGCCCTTCTGAACAACATTGTGTTTTAAGAAGGGCTTGTAATTGTCTTTGTGTAACTTCTGAATTATTAAAACAGGGCTGAGAATTGAATTCTGGTTGTATTTCTGCCAGTGACTGCAGGTGCAATTTCTCACCGAGTAGCAAATTTAATATTGTTCAGAGCTTTGACACCTAAGGATGCCTAGATCAAAGTGCTGCCAAAAGTAATCGTCTTACTTGTCAGGGCGTTGCTTTGTGTTGTTGTTCCTTGGTGATATTTGTCCTTTGTCCTGCTGTGCGCTTTCATTTTTGCTATGTTTACAGGAATATCTTTCTCTTGAGGAGCTTTCCTGCTTGTCCCATCGTGTCTGTTGTTATCTTAATTGTTTTTTTTCAGAACCAGCATGAGAGTTTGTTTTATTTACAGCTTGTAACCATGTTTTAGCCATGAAGCCAAAGGTGTTAAAATGACACAATTGAAATGACTCTTTCAAGACAAAGATCAATAGGCAGAAGTGCTTTTTTCTGTTTTTTCAACACAAACTCTTTCAGCACCTTTTCTCTTTATGCTGCTCAGGACCAGTTGCAGTCGTGGATTCGGGGCAATGTGAGCATCTGTCCCAGATCACTCTTCATATTTGATGAAATGGATAAAATGCACGCGGGACTCATTGACTCCATCAAGCCATTCCTGGACTATTACGAGCTGCTGGATGGAGTGTCTTACCGACAAGCCATCTTCATATTCCTCAGGTGAGGAGTGACTTCTCAGATTTGCTGTTCAATACACTCCATGCCTTTTAAAATTGCCTCCAGCTACAATCTTTGTTTCCTCTTTACTTAGCAATGCGGGAGCTGAAAAGATAACAGAAGTGGCACTAGATTTCTGGAGAAACGGGAGGACAAGGGAAGACATACAGCTCACAGATATGCAAAACGCACTGTCTGTGTCAGTCTTCAATAACAAAAATAGTGAGTAAAACTGTGATTGCCTTTGAGGTGGGAAAAGTTACACAACAAGGATGGGCTGCATTTACCTGTGGTTTTACGGCTGTGGTTTCTACTTGATGTGGCCTCCAGTTTTCGACTAGGGAGGAGCCAAATGCAGTTTTGAGGCTTACAGTCGGTTCTTGAAATGAAGTGGAGGTTAAAGAGCTCTGTGTGCACCTTTGCCACCAGCATGTTTGTTGTCCATTGAATTGCATATAGTGGGGGAAGTCTACACTGTGCATTTATTGACTTATTAATGGTTTAAAGGGAAAGCAAACAGAAATCTAGACATTTAGGCTAGATATTGCATTAGCTGAATAATCCTTAACCAATAAAACGTTTTATTATGAGGAAGCTGCTTCCTTGGCCCCCAGCCCACTTAGCCTGTCTTGCTCAGTCTGTTAAAAGCTTTCAGGCAGTTATTTAGGAGCCATTTACGGGGGAACAAGCTGACATGCCAGCTCTGCTGTGGGCAGTCCAGTGCTTCCTAGGTTTCCTTGCAGAGGACTTGAGGTTAAAAAGGATTTTAACATGACTATACACTAAAATTAGTATTAGAAGCCAACTTACTGCTTTTTTTAAAAAAAAAAAGTTAGATGCAAGCTCTGAAAAAAGGAGCAAGATAAGCTAGTCTGGGAGAGCTGATAAGAGACAGAAAATCTGTTCTGTAGGTGAGAGAGGGGAAGGTGTGAGACTAGCACCTGGGGAGCAAGGCTTACACGCATTCAGTTAGAATTCATTCGTTCAACTCCAATGGACCACATTTGTGTGTTTGTCCAAGACTTTATGCACAAAGTACCATGAGAACGGGCTTGTATTTGGACTTACTTGTCCATTACGGAGCCCTAAAACCACAGATGAATTCTTACTGGTTTGTAGCAGAGGGCTGTGACACGCATCTTGCTCCCATTCAACCTATGGCGGTGTTTAATTAGAGGAGCGGAAACAAACCTCTTCTCTTTCTCTTTGTAGGTGGATTTTGGCACAGCACCTTGATTGATAGAAATCTCATTGACTACTTTGTTCCCTTCCTGCCTCTGGAATACAAACATGTGAAAATGTGTGTCAGGGTTGAGATTGAATCACGTGGCTATATTGTGGATGAAGACATTTTAACCAGAATAGCCGACGAGATGACCTACTTTCCCAGAGAGGAGAGAATTTATTCAGATAAAGGATGTAAAACTGTGGATGCAAAGCTGGATTATTACTATGACTTCTAATGCTTTGTTGCTACAACCCGCAAAGAAGCAAATTTAACTTAATCACAAAGTGGAGAACCTGGGACATTTCATTTTTAAGCACTTTTTAAAGAAAGGAACATTGTTTTTTAACTGGTGTGTAAATAAGCAGCAGTGCCTCTGCATTTTTATTCGGTCACTAGTCATGGCTCCCGAGTGCTTCGTCCTTGTCTTGTCAAGGTAAGAACAAACTGCGTCGTGAACGCGGGGGTCCATGTCTGACAGTGCCGAAGATTCCTCTCGGATCGTGTGTCAGTAATGAGAACTGTTTGGCAGATTGTTGGCACATATAGAAGGACTGAGACTATGACTTAATTTTAATTGTACTCTGGTTTGATGTGGATGATGTCTAGACAAGATTGAGAATTTTAATCAAAATTCCTATGTCTGTGAAAATCTTCATTTGGCTTATGTGGGAATATTCCTGTAACTGCATTAAAAGTAGGATATGTGTCTTTTCTCCTTAACCAGCTTGGTTCCAGTAAAGATAAGGAGGGGATTCTGTAATTAAAAAAATCTGGAGTCTTCTATCCAGCATTGTGCAGTACCATTGTCTTTCTCAAAACACTGGTATAAATCTCCTGCGTGTCAAACCAGGAGTATGAAACACTTTGGATAGTGTTTCAAAGGGTGGGCTTAGTATTACAAAGAACTGAGTTAAAATGCCTGACTGCTACTTCAATGTAGTTGCTTCCTATTTTGGGTTATTTTTTTTTTTTTTATGTATAAAGTTGCCCAGAGCATGCTCTCCTCGCAGCGATCTCAGGATGGAGGAAAGTGTGCTTTCTGACTGGTGAGTCAGCTTCATGGCAAGGACATAACTTAAACACATACAGGTTAAATTTTACACCAAGGAAGTGGAAGAGAGGTTTATCCTCTTCTCCTATATGTAGAAATTTGGGGCCAGTTTGCAGGGTTTTCCCTTTTTTCTGTTCTCCCAATACTGTATGCCTTTGAGGCAGGGATGAAGACAGAGCATTTGGAAAAAAAAAAAATAGTGAAATGTGTCAACTGAAGTTACTGTGAAGAGTGTCAGACTTGTTTCTAAATGTGAGCACTGCAGAGGCTTTTTTACACTCCAGTTTCTATTAAAAATAAACTTTTCTAATCAGGAATGTATTCCTTAGCTGCCTTCTGGTGTTCTTTGTATTGAGTGATTTGATATTAATTTTTCACAAACTTACTACTTGTTGAGGGAGAGCACGCTGTGTTTCTGGCTGAAGTGTTCAGCTCTGCTTGAATACAGGTGTCTCCCTGGAGCAAAAAGGGAGTAGATATGAGGAGATGTGACTCTTTGCTACGTGGTGAAAGGGAAACAAATGAAGTTTGGACTGGAAACTACACTTCTAGACCATCAGTACTGATTACAGTTGCACAGTTTTTGTAGAGGAGGGCTTTCTAGATGTCTACATGCTCAACAGTATTATAAGGATGAAGTTGTCTTCTAGAGACTAGTTAAAATCCTGCTCCTCATCTCCTCCTCCCACTGTGGTACCACTGACTGAACACCCTGCAGGCTCCGATTGAAGCCGTCCACGTTTTCAGTGGCGGCATCTTGGAAGTTTTCTCTGCAGGGGAGGAAAAAAGGGTCAGTAAGACTTCAGTTGTCCAGTTCTACTCTGAAGTTGTGTAATATGCAAATTATCAGTCCTAATATTTGTCAGCAAATGAGCACTTTGAACTCGGGTACTTGCCTGTTTCTTTGACCTTCTGATTACAGCAAATGACTGTCTAATGGAAAAAAGCAGATGTGAAAATGATAAACTCTTAGTACTGTCTGGTATCTTCTCATGGAAAGAAACCGTTCAGCCCAGCAGTACTGTGGCTTTTCCAGCATTGACTGCACTCTTAGTTCTGCTTTACATGCCATTGCAGCATTGATACTGGTGTTTGACACACATTGGTAGCAAGTATTTAATTTTGTCGTAGCCCTAGATGGCTCAGAGTGGATGGAAGCTTCCTCTAGAGGGTGTACAAATGATATTCAAAAGGTAGAGACTGCCTCTGTTTAATCTCTTTGCAGTCCTTGAAAACAGTCCTTGCCTGGCTAGGAGCATCTCCTCCATCTGGGTAAAAGAAACGTGTGTGCCTGAAAGCACTCTCAGCTTTGATCCCGTCGTCGTTCTTCCCCTTTAGACTGCACGGTTTCAAAGCTGAGGTCCGCGCTGTCTTCCTCGCTGTGACTGTTGGCCATTACTCTTTTTAATGGGCAACTTGAAAACGTCAAACAGGGGGAAAGGTCGGATCCCCAGAGAACAGTCCATTGGCCAGGTGAGAGTAGCTGAGCAGTCGCTGAGACTGGCTTTTGTTTGTTCTTACCAAAGTCCAGCACAAGCCAACTGCTGCTTTAATTCAGCCTTCTTCTGCAGGGAACGTTCCAAGATCTCATTCTGTGCTCATAAAATTGGAGGCTATGGTTAAAATACATTATACATGTATTAATTTCTGCTTTTGAGAGAAAGAGGAGACCTGGCCTTAAAGATTCATCTGCCTGATGCCAAGCTGTCATGTGCCAAGCAGTGCAGGCATAGTGCAAAGTCCTGGCGAACCAGACAGCTTACGCTTCCCATGCGCGCTCCGTACTGGGTTTCCCTGTGCATCCTTACGGCACAACACATGGCTCACCATCCTGAGAACAACTGACTGTTCAGTGAAGTGCGAGTTCTTTCCAACAGCTGTACCTCGTGTGAATTAGGCTGTTATTTACACACTGGCTTTTTTTCAAGTGCTAGAGAGGCTGCAGATGCTCTGGCCCATGGAGATAGGATGAAAGCCTTTGCCAGCTAGAGGAGAGGTGAAGAGCCACTTGGAATGACAGCTTTCCAGACACAGCACAGAGAGGAGGAATAGTTAAACAAGCTACCTGAGGCTTCTTTGTCTTGCAGTGCCTGCCAGTATGGTAGGAGATAACTCCTCATAACTACGAAGCAGAGCAGGCAGAGGCTTTAAGGCTTTTTCATAGGTGTTTGCTTCTACTGAGCTGTATTTTAACTGCTGAATGCCTTACTGTGCTGTTGGATGACTCAACATGTTTTAACATTGACAGGCTACTTAATCTGCTTATCTGTTGTTACAAACAAATTTTTAATAATAAAGGAAGCTCAACAGAAAGCTGCAGTGCAGCTGGCTGACCACTTGCATAAACTACTACTTTCCTATAGCTGAAAATGATGAAACCTAGAGAGAAAAGTGACTTCAGATTTATTCCAACTGCAGTTCAGTAGTAATATTTAGTGTTTTGAAATTGCACAAGTATTTTGTATTTGGAGTGACTGAAACTAGAGGCAGCATTTACACCTATGGATAAATCAGTTAAGAGGCAAAACATTATACATGAAAAGCAACAGTCCAACGTCCCAAGGTTAATGGCTAGCTAGCGTTTGGCTCTGAAGATTGCATCAGCACGAACAGTTTGCCAACATCTGACAAATTCCACATGCGGTTGTAAAAGGCAGTTGACACTTTTATTTCAGAGCTTAACATAAATGCTAAGATCTCTGTTGTAATTTGAATTAACATAATAGTCTTGAGACCTATAAGTTGTGCATCACATCTTAAAGCAAGTTTAAGTACAAGTGAGGGAGTAGATGCTGCAGCACAAAAATAGCCTGATCCTTCATACCAGTTTAAAAACCAATCAGCTAAGTCATAGGCACTTCTGTCTTGCACTATAGTATTTGAGCCACAAGTGATGGATGATGAAAGAGTTAAAGCTTACAGCAGAGTTTTAAACCCCAGTCTTACCGAGTGGGTGAAGGTTAAATCATCCTTCCAAGCTTCCAAACTCATCACTTGCCCTTCCACACAGACATTCTTTAACGTTAAAAGCTACTATAAAACATACTTACCTACTGAGGTATGGGATTGTTGATTGCTCCCATTTCTCTGTGGCTCTCTAGGAAGAGCTTTCTATTGCTGTTCCTTACACTTCAGTATAAAAATACACTACTAAAAATAACTTCTGCCATAAAAGTGTCTTCCAAGCAAGGTGAAAGTAGCATTACCCACTCCTAGGCTATTGGGTGCAGCTGGGAGACACTACGAAAGCTCTTGCGGACTTCAGGTGCAGCAGCTCACATGCAGGTTAACCTGACAAGCTGTAACAGTCAAATAAATCCTCAAGAAAGATTTTTCTGATTAAGGAAAAATATTAGACTGGCCTAATACGTTGCAAGTCAGATCCCTCAGATGAGTCCCTCTGCTTAGGAAGACGAACACCCTGGAGTTACCACACAAATTCACTTAGCCCCCTTAGTTAGAAGAATAAAAAGTTTCTTTTACAATTTCTTTTTCCCCAAAGCAGCACAGGGGCGAGCCGTTACTTCCCGTCCAACACCCCTACTAACAGATTTCCCTGTGCTCATCATGACTTTCCGTATTACTGCAGCAGGAGATGTGATACGATGCCACAGCTCAGGCATTAGCTATAATCATGCCCTTCTGTCCCTGAATAGCTGATGCTCGGCTGTAGAAGCCACAACAGCATCAACCTGCTGTGAAGGACACGAAGCCTTCCACCATACCAGCACACCATTAACACATCCACCTATTCACCCTTACAGACACTATCATAGTCCTGAACACATCACAAATCCTTTTCTCTCACTAGCCCATGAGCGAGACCATGTACAAGGGAGGGAATATGACTGCCTGGAAGAATTCCTCTGTTCTCCTTTGCTCTAGTCTAGTTTTTGTGGAAAGAGGAATTCAATACTTAATCCCAGCACTTGGAAGAGTAAAACAGGAGAGGCTGTATCCAGTGCTGTATGTGTCACGCTCAGAAATTCTCTATAGGAAATAGAAATTCTCCGTATTTAAAAATAAAATTAAATTAAAGGGTCCAACAGTTGGATACCAGCCAGTTCAGGTAAAAAAAAAAAAGTTAAAAAGCCCACACAGCTCACTCTGGTATTTTCACCATACTCCCTGCAACAGTAAAAAAAGCTTAAGTGCAAACACACAGATTTCCAAAAGCTCTGAAAGTGCTTTGGAGACCAGAGGGGTAATCAACCATTGGCTGTCGTGTCTCTCATTGCAACGTCTTCATGAATGTCCAGCTTGGCCTGTACGGTCTTGCAGCCTTTATCGGAGTAGATTTTCTGCTCTTTTGGGAAGAAAGTCATCTCATCAGCCACTGCTTGAACAACCTTCTCATCAACAGCATAGCCACGGGCTATCATTTCAGCCCTGATGCACATCTTCACGTGCTTGTGCTCCAGAGGCAGGAAGGGGACAAAGTAGTCAATGAGATTCCTGTCAATGAGGCTGCTGTGCCACAGTCCACCTGGAGGAGTTGGGGGGAAAGGGAAAAGCAGGGCAGGGTCAAGAGATGAAACCTGTCTTACGAAGTAAAAGGAATTTCCCATCTTCTGGGGAAAGTGACTTACTATTCTTGTTATTGAAGACTCCTACAGATAGCATGGGCTCCAGGTCTTTCAGCTGAATCTCTTCCCTGCGCTTTCCACTTGTCCAGAAGTCAAGAGCTGCTTTGTTAATTAAGTCACCACCTGCATTGCTATTCATAAAAGGAAAATGCATAGTGGTGAATACAGATACAACTGAACCAGAATTTCTTTTTTTTTAGCTGGTTACATGTATTAATAATCTTCTTGATGTCAAAAAAATCATCAAAACAGAAACCCGTAAGCCAAAATTTAGGGAAAATCTCCAGTTCCTTAAATAGCTGTCAGTGTGTGGTGGGTCGACCCTGGCCAGCAGCCAAGCACCTACACAGACACTTGCTTACTCCCTCCTGCCTCAGTGGGATGGAAGGAGAAAATGGGAAAACAAAAGTGAGATGACTTGTGGGTTCAGATAAAGACAGTTTCATAGGTAACAGAAAGAGGAGAAAAAAAAAAAACCAAGGAAGACTAAGGAAATCATTCACCACCCCCCCAGTCTGACCAACACCCAGGCAGTCTCTGAAGAACCATCACCTTGGAAGCTGAAACCCCCCTTCTTTCTCTAACCCAGTTTTTATTGCTGAGCACGACATACATGGTGCTGAATACTCCCCTGGCCAGTTTGGGTCAGCTGTCCCAGCTGTGCGTCCCCTCCCATCCTCTTGCCCACCCCCGCCTACTCGCTGCGGGCAGCATGGGAAAAAGAGGTGGCCTTGAAGCTTTGCAAGCACCATCCAGCAAACAGCCAAAACACTGGTGTGTTATCAGTGCTGGTTTAGTCACAAATCCAAAACACAGCACCAAACTGGCCGCTCTGAAGACAGTTAAGTCCGTCCCAGCCAGACCCGATACACTGTGCATCCATCTCAGAGAAATTCCCCAGAATCTGGACTCTCATAAGACCTGTGCTCTGGGCCAAGGCTCATGTGCCCAGCACGCCGCAGTGGTCTGCTGCACAGTGTCAGACCTGCTCCACCACAGCCACAGGCCACTCAACAGCTCACAGTGCTGCTTCCCTCTGTCTTTACAGAGAGGGTCTCTGCTCCAGAGCTGTTCTTTTGCTGATCTTTGAATGAGATCCCATAGGAACATCATTATCGTCATAAATAGATTCATGTCAGTATCTCATAATGACCAAAATAGGTGCTACAGACCTGAGGAAGATGAAGATGGCTTTCCTGTAGGACACCCTATCAACGTGCTCGTAATAGTCTAAGAACGGCTTGATGGCATCAATGAGACCTGGATGCATTTTGTCCATCTCATCAAAAATGAAGACGGAGTAGGGACAGGCAGTGACATTGCCCCGAATCCAGTTCTGCAGTTGTTCCTGGAACAAGAGGTTGAGAAACACTGAAAAACCAGGTCTCCTGGGGATGTACTGCAAAATATTTCTATGGGGCAGCCTCTGGGGACACCCTTTCACATGTCAGCATCACACACTCATTCTTTATACTTTTTCTTGACCACAAACTCTGTGACTGATCCCTTTAACAGCTGACATGGAATTTAAACGTGAATTCTTTTCCCACTCACAGATGAGAGACACTGTCATTCTTTCTGCCTAGTGTATGGATGAGGCACAAAAAACAGGCTGAAATGGGAAGTCTTGGAGAAGAGAAAGCTTCTTTTTGTTTTAAAACAAACAAATCAGTGTTTCCTCTTTCATCTATGAGAATTTCATATACCTACAAACATCAAAACATGAAGATCAGAATGGTGCAATGTCAAGGAATGAAGTCACTTGATAAATCTCTCATGCAGGCCACGCTTTCCCACAGAGTAATGTGCGGTGGAGTGACCTGGCAGCAGCCAAGCACCCCGGCAGGATGGGGCAGAGAGGACAAAGAATAAAAGTGAGAAGATCAATGGGTCACCATAAAGACAGTTTGATAGATGATGGAAAGAGGTAAAAAACAAGCAAAGGGAATCACTCATCCCTCTGACACGTGCAGACCAATGCCCAGCCAGCGTTCGAGCAATGGCCACCTTAGAATCCAACACTCCCTGCTTCTTCCCTCTTCTACTCCAGTTTTTATTGCTGAGCATGACAGTTTATGTTACGGAACATCCCTTTGGCCAACTGGGGTCAGCTCTCCCAGCTGGATGCCCTCCCAGTCTCTTGCCCACCTCGGCCTGCTCGCTATGTGTGGCAGAAAAAAAGCAAGTTTTGAGGCTGTGAGATGCTGTCCAGTAACAGCCCAAACACTGGTGCATTATCAACATGGTTTTAGCCACAAACGCAAAGCACAGCTCCGCAGGGGCTGCTCCGGGGAGAGTTACCTCCATCCCGGCCGACCAGTACGCGTAGTTTTAACAACCGGATTCTTTCCTAACAGCAAGCACGGCAGGAATCAGCAGATGGCATCAGTGAGAGGACAGCACTAGGAAATTACTCTCACTTTAGATTTCTTGGCATTTTGGTGCCTTGCTCTTTCACTTTCTAAACGCGTTTCTCCCTTCGTCTCTCCTGACCACCAGCTTTAGAAACAGCCGGCCGTACACCTCCAGTTGTCGGATATCTGGGGGACACGTGCAGCACAAACAGCCAAACCCCCGTCCGAGGGGGCTTAGGGACTTGGGGTAACGGGATTTCCTCTTGTGTCCCTCCTCACCTTGTAGAGCTTGAGCTGGTCATGGTGGGGGAAGTGCAGGGTGGCCAGGAAGAGATGGACGAACTTGCTGCGCAGGCCGGCGGGGTGGACGTGCTCCGCCAGGATCTG